AATTGCTTATCATGTGAAGTACTGTGTTTTTCACGTATCTATTTTTATTCTGTGTCTTTCTGTGTCTCTGCTGTTTTGTTGTATTTTGGTTTTCTTTTTTGTTGTTGTTAGCATACTTGAATCATACTTGAATCATGAACAGTTGCCTCAGGGAGCAGGGAGAGAGAGAAAGAGAGAGAGAGAGAGAGAGCACATACAGAAAATGATTATATGAAAGCTAAACAGGGTAGAATTTATTCCTTAAAAAATAGCTAATGGTTAAGTCTTCGGGAGATGACTTTCTAATCCATACTGTATTTAATTGGCTGTATTGAACCATAGTACAAATTAAGTCTTCTCTGTAATTTATTCTGTCAGACAGTAGCCCTCCCTCCCAAACAATTTGATACTCCATTTAAACATTGTTAAATGGCTCATGGAAACGCAAAGAAAAAGATTTAATGATGCTAAGAATCCCTCTGTTCACAGAATGAATCCTATGTGAAAAGTCATGAATTAACCTAATTCATCCATTCGATGAGCCATTTATTGAGTACCAACCTTGATCAGGAAACATCAAAGATGGCTTGGCCTGCCCTTGCTCTCCTTCAGCACTCATTCCATATCACTCATTAAAGCCAGAGAAAACTTCTCAGGAACTGAAGAGAAACTACCATGGAGCTTTTTTTCTGAATATCTAGCATTCCCCAAAGCAGAGAGGGAACAAGAACCTGTGCCTAGGACCCTGGAGCTTTCTATAACACAACCTTTGCCCTACTCTTCTGGGAAGTTCCCATTTATCCTTCAAGACTTAGATCAAGCTTGCAGGATCTTCCTGCAAGCGTCCCCCATGTCCCTTCCCTGGTTCCTGCTCCTGGAAAAATGCATTTAATGTAGATATAGCCGTGCTATATTGTGGCTTTAGGTTATGTCACATGCCTATTTTAAGAGACCATGAGGTCCCTGAGGTAGGGATGATGTTTTCTTCATCTGCATAAGACCCAGATCATAGAAAATCCTCAGTACGTATATGGGATGTGAAAAACTGGATGAGTAGGTAGGGTGTAGGGGGTAGTATTGTTAAAAGGAGCTGGTGGAGTCAAGGAAGGTTCCTTGATAAGCAAGATATTACAACTAGACTTTGAAGCATGGCTGCAATTAGTTCTATAAATAGCATAGGTGCATATGTAGCTGATGAAGCATGGGGGGGTGAGCCCCAGAGAAAACTGCATGAGTGGTGGCACAGCAGTGGTGAGGGTGGAGCCCCTTGTGTTGTTGGTAGGACAGGAGGATGGGGGCAGACAGAACTGAGGATTTTGATGCCTGGATGATCCCTGGGCTTTTCTGCCAACAACTTATACCTGCCCTGTAGGGAAGAGCCTGCAGAAAATGCAGAAAAAGTGATCCTGAAAGCCCTGTTTTTAAGACCAACTACTTTAACAGCAAGAATAAGTCTCACTGAGACAGTTTTCAGTGGGAAATACCAACCAGGCATGAGTAGAATATGCCTTCCTCCCACCCTCACCTTCCCACTCAGGTCTCATCTTCTCTGGCTGGTCAGCTTATACAGTCTCTGGAACCCACCTACCATGTCCCAGAATTTCCACCCAAAGAGAAACCCTCCTTGGGTGAAGCTATCTCTGTCACCCATGACCAATGGTAACCTCTCTTTGCCATTTTGGTAGGGCTGCTCTGCAGATACACTGAAAAGTCAGACAGCATGGCCTGGAAATGATTCGTAAGAACTAGAAATAAACTTCCAGGTCATTCTTCCTTGACCCCTTCGTCTGGAGCCCCTGTAATTCACCTCTATGTTTTGATTCGTTACCCTCTCTGATCTCAGACATGCACCCAAATTGCAGACTCCATTCCTCCCTTCTATCCAGTTCTTTTGATTCACTCGCTGCCCATGAGCTTCAGCTTGTCTTGTTCAGAGTAGAGTGCCAGGCCTAGATTCTACACAACCCTGTTCTTGTCCTCAGTGCCTCACCACCTCACCACTTGGCTAAGAAAGACAAGTGTTGGGGTTGGCAGTGGTGAGGATGGTGCGATCTCTGGCCTTTGGTCTAATCATGAACAAACTCAGAGGCAAACTATGTAATATTTAAGGTTCCTTCTGGCTCCAAGTGCCTTTGATTGTGTTTCATAATTAAGAAAAAAAAAGTTTACTTGAAGACCAAGAACAATTTCTAGGCTCAGTGAACAAGCATTTGCATGGTACTCTGGGTTGTTAAAGTTGTGGTAACACAACTGTAGCATTAACTAAATCCTAACATTTATGTATTTCCATGTGCCTATATTGTGTCTGCATAGTGGAAGGTTGGGGAAGACATATCCCCTCATTGATATGTTGAGGAGACATATCCCCTCATTGATGGTTAGTTCTGGAGTGAATGAGACACTTGGAGAGCACTACTTTCTAACATGTCATAAAACTAACCACGGGAGAAGATAATGTTACAGATATCTTTAAGTACTTTGCGCACACGTCCTCAGACAGCTAATACTTTGCAATGTTAGGTATCATCAAGCATTAAGAATGTTTTGATTTAAAATACTTAATGAGGATTCGCAGATAAATTAAAAAACGTCTCCATCTGCTGTCTTCATGGTAGGTGATATTTTACCATTGCACACTCGTGTCTAAATCTAATTCTACCAGGAAGATTTCTAATCGCTGCTTAATTTTAGAGCAATATTCCACTTGGCAATCAATAAGGCAGTGTCGTCAAACTTGGATTTAACAGGAGGCATAGATTACATCCTCTACATTATTCAGGGAAAGAAATACTTTCAGGAAAAGGAAAGAAAAGACTGTCTTTGTCTCCCATTTTCCCCTGCCACATACCATTCTAGCTCACAAAAGCTTATAAATCAATGCCCCATGTTGCGTGAATATAAATCTCATCAATTTTACATCATTAACACCATGAAAACGCTACTACTCTCAGAGCAATTTTCCTCTGCTCGCTAAATCTGTCCTTTTGATGAAACAAAACAAGCAGATTCTGATTGTTTTGCTAACAAATGCTTCCTCCAACTTTAATCACTCAAAATCCACTCTATAAAGTTGCCATACTGCCAGTTGAGATACCAAGGGCATGAAGTGGTGATACCACTGTGTCATTCAGGGAGAAAATAGAATGGAGTGGAAGGGAGAGTTCTAGGTATCAGAGGGTGAGGAGCAGATGCACCCTGACAGATTAAGGCAAGGCAGAACACTCTAGAGCAGCAGATGATTCACAATGGTCAGAGCCTGGTCAAGCAGGAGCCTGGAGAACTGACATTTTGTAAGGTCAGTGATCTCTAGAACTGAGGTAATGACACTCATAAGAACCAGAGACTCACTGAACCAGGAGACTCTAGTAGCTTTAAGGGACAAGGATCCTGGAACAGGACCTAAGAAAATCTCAACCCTAGTAGTTCTGGAGGCTTTCATAGCAGTGCTGTGTTTCTCCCTCTTTCCTGGTACTCAGGAATAGGAAAGATTATGTGTACCAGAAAATTAATTCTTTTTTCTTTTTGGACTTTTGAACCATAACCACTGGCTCAAATATAAGCTAGGGAACATAGCAGCAATAAACAGATATGATTCTAATTAAACATTTGCATGCACAAATACATATACATATATGTATATATATGGAATGATTATAAATGTATGTCTTTTGACAAGCCCACAGCCAGCATCATTCTAAAGAGAGAGGAACTCAAAGCATTTCCACTAAAATGAGGAACAAGACAAGAATGTCTACTGTCCCCACATCTGTGCAATATGGTACTTGAAGTGCTTTCAGATTTTTGAAATCTGCCTTTTCATTGCCTTTATTGATCCCTATAGAGCCAGGGCTTTTGAATTAGGATCCTTTGGTCTTGTGTTTCTAGGTGATTAAACTCTTGTGAAGAGAGCCCTAGGGGTGGTTGGCATTAGTACAGCAGCTAAAATTCAAGCTTCTTGAGGAGAATGCTTATATTTTCTGGACTGACCACTGGCATCTCTTTGCCTCTGAAAACCATTATAGAGATACATAGAATTATTATAGTAAAATAACCATAAGGCTGTTCATCTTCTAATAGGATGGGAAACTTTGTTTCTGTGGCAGCTTGGATGACAAAAGCAGAAAGGCCAATTTTGAACTACTGAGCATCAACCAGATTTCTTCAGTTCAACAAAATGGGTGGAGCACAAGGCAAGGCTGGGAGATGGCAGAGATCAGAAAGGCAGAGTCTAGTGTGGGCAAAGGACTAGGAGTCAGAAAACTTACCAGGGCAAAACCTGTGAGCACCTGTATGAAAGGAACCCATCAAGTTTTAAGGGAATATCCATGCAGGGAGAGGGAAGACTAGCCCCATTCAGGGGCTGCCTTACAGACGTGGTGTCATTTCATGTGGCCATCAAAAGAGATTTTTCAAGAGGATGATGAAGTCAGACATTGTAGACAGAGGGACTCAACTGATGAAAAGGAGTGTGTATGTTTGTGTGTGTGACTTTGAAATCGTGACTTTGAAAAAGAAAAAGTAATTTATCCCTCAACATAGATTTTCACCAACTGCTTGTAAAGCTCAGTAACCCTGCAAAACTAGAATACTGTGATGTTCACAGCACCCCCTGGAGCTGTTCAAGGGACAGCCTTTCCCACTGCATGCAAATCCCTAGGTGTGTCAGCATTTTCACTATCAAACCATATTCCCTATCGGGACGTGCTGCGAAGGTTGCAAGCAGAAAGAAGCATGTGGGCTGAGTTAGACTGCGAGGCTTCGGCAGGCTGTGTAAAGCCACTTTCTGCAGATGCTCACTCCCATATGAACAATCCTGGTGTATCTCTGGTCACAGCAGTGAGACCACGAAGGAAGACCTCCCTTTCTCAAGGGCAGGCGTAGCTCTTTTTCCTTCCATCTGTACCAAGCAGCTTTCCCAAAGCCCCTTGGGCCTTTCACACATGGCAGAAACACATCTCTTATTGATCAACAGCTCGAGGGGTGTGTTCCCTGAAAATGCTCTTCCTTTTGTGTGTCCCCAGGCCCTTCAGCATCACCATGCTGTTCATGAAATTTCCTACATTGCGAAGGACATCACAGATCACCGGGCTTTTGGATATGTTTGTGGGAAGGAAGGGAATCACAGATTCGTGGCCATCAAAACAGCCCAGGCAGTAAGTACTCCTCTCCAATACAGGTGTTTTCCATGTGACTGTGCAGGACAGAGCCAATGGTGTTGATTTTTCAAGGCCCAGCCTGACCAAATGATGTGCCACCAGTAGCAGCTGATGTGCGTAATTCTACATAGGAAAGATAAACAGCCTTGAAGCAAAGAAACATGGTCATACCCATTTGTTTTTGGTTTTTTTTTAATCCTAATGGGTACTTCCTAATGACTAATTATTTTCCCTTTCTGATTAAGCTAGATAGAGACACATATACAAATAAGTTTCCTTGTGTTCATAGCCTCATTTAAAAAGAAAATAAGAGAAAACAAATAGCTGTTTTGCATATGGCCTGCCCTAATTTTATTGTATTTCGAATCACTAATAAATAAAAGCATTGCTTTTTATGCTTATGATTATTATGAATTTGCAAATATAATTAGTTGAAGAAATGAACTTTAGCCTAGAAGCAATTTGCTAAACCAATATAAACAAGGTAGAATTAATTAAGAATGGAATGCTTTCAGTTTAATAGAAAAAGGAAGGGCTGCGGGTTGGAGCCACAAACAAAAATTAGTAGCTGCAGTTCAGCCGAGTTCTTTATGAATGTGTCTCACCACCTTTTCACTCCAGGCTGAACCTGTTATTCTGGACTTGAGAGATCTCTTCCAACTCATTTACGAACTGAAGCAAAGAGAAGAACTGGAAAAAAAGGCACAAAAGGATAAGCAGTGTGAGCAAGCTGTGTACCAGGTATACCGACGCGTTGCTCCAAGTGCTGCAGAAGATGGGGCCCGCAAAAAAAGCAGATGGGAAACCGACAAGTCGGGCTGTCTCCTCCTGCTGCTGAGCAGAAATAAACAGAGATGAAAGGTTCCTGTGTAGATTACAGGCACCTGAGCCAAGCCATTTAGCAGGGATCCTTTTTCCTTCTGAGACTTGAGATAGGTTAGAGAAAGGGAATTCTTTAATCCAGGGGAAGATTTCAGGGGACAAAGACTAAAGGTTCATGGCAGCTTTGCTTTGCTGGCTTTGCTATTGTTAACATGGGGAGTGGGTGGTGAGGGAGCTGTAGGATTTGGAGTTTCTTTTTGTTTTTTTTTTTTTTTTTTTTTTTTTGTTGTTGTTGTTTTTCCTGCTTTGATGGCCTCTTATACTGTCTTAATCGATGCTGGCTCCTCTAACTGTGCTGTGTTAATCTGAAGATAATCTCACATCTCTTCCTTTGTATCCTTTGCTTTCACCCTCCTTTCCTTCACTGGGATAGACAATTTTGGAAGAGGATGTTGAAGATCCTGTCTACCAGGTAATTTCTGAGCCATGTCAGGGGTTTGCATGCAGTTAGTTGTGCCCTTGGAAAGGCTATTTTGACTGAAAGTTGAGAAATCTGTTGAATGTGGAACCTGCAGAACAGTTGAGATGCTTTCTGAAGGCCAGAGTTGCCAGCCTCTGCAGGGAGGGAATTTTTTGACACTAAAGAAATTTAGTCAGCACTAGTAATGGGAGATCTGGAAACCACTTCCTTCTTCATGCCCCTGCATCAGACCCCTCCACTATCTGGAAAAGTTTGATCTTAGAAATGAGTGTTTTTTTTTTTTTTTTTTCGGCGAGTCTCTCGACTGCTCTAATTTTGTTGGAGAAGAGGTGGATAATGAAGTAGATTCTATGAGCTAAGAATTGGGGTTGAGGGGCTGACATTTGCATGGCATTTGAGCACAAACCTAAAGAATGCTTTACTAGCTTCAGCAAGGATGTAAGACCATCTCTGAAGCCCCGATGATGCAGGCTAACCCTCTGATTATTTGGCTCATGGCACAGAGCTGCTATAAAGTGAGAGAGAGAATCCTAAGACAGCTCTGCCCAGGGCTCTCTCTGCACTCTCTTCATGGTCCACAGCATAGTGGTGGGTACTAACCCTTCTCGTGGTGAAGTCCAAGATCTATGCAAACGAAGATTCAGAAAGAAAGGAAGAAGTGACTTTCCCTACTTCTCCCCTGTGCTTATTTCTAAGGAGAAGAAGTGGACTAAAAATTTATACTCACTTTTTGAACCTAGAAGCAAACCTTCCACTTGTATTTCTAATCAAGATACACGAGTGTGGTTTTTGTCTATATCATATCACCACTGCATAGGCACACATACTTCCACCCCAACAGTTACTGTGGATATGATCAAGATAACAGGATACATAAAACTGATACGTAGACAGACAGATGGCTCTCAAAGTAGAAGTACCTAGCCGGCCTATGGTACATACAAGTCAGAGGTGCGTTATTGAATATGCCCTTGCTTTTGAGGAATGGAGAGGAAGAACTTGCTTATAGCAGGACCTTTAACTGCTGCTTCATGGGTTTAAAGAGAGGGAGAGTGGTGGCTTTTTGGAAACACCCCAGCCCTTTAGGTGTGAAGTGTGCACATAGAAAAGTTGATGTTCAGTATTTTAAGCTGATAAGATTCCGTTTAGGGAATCAGGGAGTTTGGGACTTCTGAGCTCTCGACCGTTAGCCTGGGACCTTAGAAAGGCAATAGGACTGTATAGCTCAGTTTGCAAGGCTTTCACCGTGTAACACCACAGCACCATGCTGTTCAGCTGCTACACAGACACAATATGATTGAATGAAGACATCATCTCTCCAGAAAGATTTGGCAGCAGCCCAGTACACTCACAGAAGAGGCCAGGCAGCAAGAACTCTGTGGGTTTCCTTAGCAGGGCCCATTTTATCCCAGTAACCCAAATGCCATCTCCGATATTTCCTCTTGTGCCTGTTTCTATAATGCTTGCTGTGATTTGCATCTGAATTCCAAATGCTTTTTTTTTTTTCCTCTTTATTTATTTATTTTTTTCCTTCTGCGCTTTCCTCTCTGGCTGCTCCTGCAATAGTACATTGTGTTTGAGGCTGGACATGAGCCAATCCGTGATCCTGAAACAGAAGAAAACATTTACCAGGTATAAGATCCTTGCTTCTTCCTATACATCCTCCACCAGCAAAGGCTAGCTAGCCTACAGAAAAGCTCAAGAATCCTGGATCTCTTGGTCACTGAGGGGTGTGAGATGCCCTTGAACCTACTGGCTGCAGGTTCCCCAGCAATTTCCTGGCACTCTCCGTGCCTCACTGCTGAAACCTTTAATGGCCTGTTGAGTACAGTGCTTTAATCTGGAACGGATCGTAGGTGTTCTAAGTAGCATACAGCCCAAGCTTTTCGTCATACTGAGATAATACAGTGGAGAATCACAACCCACCAAGTATGGGTCTTTCACTGCTCAATGGAATGCATGGGTCCAATTTGTTTAAAAACCCAACTTCCTTCCTATAACTAAGGGACTATCTTCAAAAATGCTTCATGAAAACAGCAGTAGGGGATGTCTGGAATAAAAGGAAGTACAGCTGAAGGCTTTATCCATCCTGAAGAGGAAGCAAATTAATACTCATAACTGTGAAGAACACTTAAAATGTTTCTAACCTCATTTACCTCTCACAAATATGCAATAAAACAGGCATTTTAATCCTGTTTTATTGGGGGTGGGTGGGGGTAGTGAATGGAGTAAAATTTAGGCATGGAGCAGATTCCCCAGGGTCGCACAGCTACTTAGCGCCAAGACTGAAAAACAGTACCAGTGGAGGCCGAGCCCCAGCCTCCTTCGGAATCCCATCAAAGTGCTTGGGTCTTGGGTCCCAGAGTAACACAGTATGGTGACATATCAAGTATACACGATGATTTTTCACTAATGATAACCTTAGTCTTCATTTAAAGCATAAATACTATGGGAGACGGAGCGATTTGATCTATTCATTTAATCAGTGGTTTTAATTTACTTAGTTGTGACTTCTATTATTCAGCCTTAGGCATGTGTTAATTGTGAAATCAAAATAAAACCTATTTTCAATTTCTATCAACTGTGTAGAATTCTAAATGAACAGGCCCAATGCTATTTCTCCAAACAACTCAATTCAAACCAGCCTTGTAGAATAATTGTTTATTTATGCCCTCCTGGGTCCACCCGACTCTTCCAGTTGGATGTCTCCCAGTAAGAGCTGGAGAAGTGATGTCTTCAAAGAGCATCTGCTTGAAATGCAGGGTGTTGTTTAGTCTCCCCTCACAAAGTTTCTATCCTTAGAAAGAAAGGTTGCTGTTGTCCCCAGTGTCAGATCCAAAGCACTGTGTCTGAGCATTGAGACCAAAGAGCCATTAACCCATCATCCCAGGGAGAAGGAGCACCTTTCTGTAAGAGAGGCACTTGAATCCAGCTGAGCGGGTTAGTGGCACAGCAACTGGGCACAGCAAAGAGCCTGCAGGTGCCAGAAAGAGCTGCCTTAGGCTAGGGCAGAGCTGGCATCCAGTTTGGCCCTTTTCACCAGCTACCTTTGGGTCATGGTTGGAGGTCAAGACACTTACTGGTCTTCAGACTCCATTTCTCCAACCATAAAGTAGGGGGCTCCACCCCAACACGTATCAGTGTGAGACTGAAACAAGCTCATTTGGTGCATGGAATGATGGGCCAGCATCCCGGGGCATGAATATCTATGTGGATCCAGTTCTTAATACAACTGCCTGTTCCAGACATTGGCTTAAATTGCAATTTTAATTCCCGCCCCAGGGCCTCAGTTTATCCCCCGGTAAAATGAGTAAATAGGGTTCAAAGATCTCTCTGGTAGAGTCTTTTCCTGCTGTTTGCAACGCAGACCTCGCAAGAAATAGCACAAGAACATGGGCCTGGGTTCTCTGCAGAATCATGTTGGCTTTGCTCTATAGGGCAGCAGCAGGGTACATGTGTGCTAACTGATGACCCCGACATAGGGGTTTATCTGCAACACCCTCCATCTCTCATAATGCCCACTATGGCGTGAGTCATTTCCTATCTTACATACAAGGGGGGTGAGACTTAGGGGACCAAGAATCTTGTTGGGTGTCACAGAGCCTTTGAGGTAGGATCTCTAAGGCAGTTCTCTCTGACCTCTAGAATAAACACCTCTGTCCTGTAGCTCTTTCCAGCTCAGCGTTCTGTGGCTCTGGGCATCCCAATTAGATTGCATTTTCAGCCGCTGTCTAAAAGATCTCACTTGTTGAAACGGCACTGACCCCCTGATCTTTCCATCTCTCCATCGTTAACAGGAAGGCATCATTTACAAGAATGAATATCTTATCCCATCTATTGGAAAGGCCTGTGGCCATGTTCCTCTCCTGAATGGCAGATACACCTGGGCTCAGTCCACTTAACAGGAGATAAGCCCTCGGCCTAAAGATGACCAGGCCTTTAAAACACTGCCATTAGAAGGCCTGTTTTCGTTTCTTTTTGTTTTATTTTGCTTTGTTTTGTCTTTAGGGCAGGCAAGTGCTACACAGCTGGTCCTGCTGCATACATCTTGCTGTTTCTACCACTCTGGCTCAAGGTGGTCACATTTTATCTAACTCTGGCCTCTGTTTCTAGAAGGAGACCCACATAGGCCCGAGGCCTGGTAGCCTCTCAGTGTTTTGTGCCTCTGGCTGGTGTACATAAATGTTTGCTTCTCCACTTCCTGAGCTACAAACTGGGGTTAGTCCAGTGTCATGTTGCGCCCAGTCCACAGAAGCTTCTGTGTGGCCATCCCTTCCTTTACTTCTGCATCGTCATCCTCGGGCACCACTTTTGATGATGCTATTAACAGAAAGAGAAACTCCCGACACAGCTCGTTTTGTTGGACAGCGCCACGGAAAGCTTAAACCTTGCTTGGCTGTTGTGCCCACCATGAGGAGACATAGAGGCTCCGAGGCAGCTGAAACATTTTTCCAAGGAGGAGTTACACCTCCCCAACCGTGTTAATGATCATAATTGTCTCTTGTGTCACGTGCCTCAGAAAACATCAATTCTCTTAAAACACACACACACACACACACACATATTTTTCTAAGTGACTTAATGGTGACCTTTCTGTCACTTGGTGAGTTAAGAAGAAAAGCTCCCCAGGCTGCCGTTTTTCAACATAAGGGAATCCTGAGTGCCAACGTCAGGGGCTCCAATTCTAGTCCTGAGCTCTTTAACAAGGTATTCCTATACAAGTGGGGCCTCCACTTTCCAAGTGGGTATTTTTTGACATTCATTTGTTCAGAACTCATTGTTAGTCTCCCCATGTGTTAAGTATCAATTTAAAACAGTAAAGCTAGCCTTCTGTCACCCAGCACACCCTTGAAGGCCTCTCCATAGGTAATTACTACACTGCTGACCCAAAAGTACCCTCGCTCTACATCACTTCATGTGTAATTCTTAAGAGTAATTTAACGTCTGTTTAACTTGTTCACTCAGAAGTGTATTTTGTGGACCCCTAAGTATGTGCTGTTCACTACAAGGTCCCTTTTTTCAAAGAGTTTAGAGCTAATTCCTTAGATGCTCTAGTCAAACAGTTGAGGAAACTGAGGCTCAGAGAGCAACATGACTCCTCTAAGTCACCCAGCCTGTAGCCCAGCTTGGATTAGGAGTCAGGTGTTCCGCTGTGTACCCTGTCTACAATTTTGGACACTCTTCACCACTGTCATGTACTGCAGTGGTCCCAGGAGATGGAGCAGATCACCAGTGCAGAGATGACAGGTCCTAAAACTGCAGTCCTCACCAGCGAACATTTGATGAGATGTGTCTTTGCTTGACATTTATGGATAGAAGTATAAGGATAATCAAGTATGTTCCCGGTGCTGAGAAAGCTTGCAGAGCTGTGGTGCTGCGGACACACAGACAGCTTGTGCTGTCCTAGCTCCCGAGGATTGAAAAAGCCTGTTTCACGCTCTGCATTAGTAGCCTGCGGATAGTGCCATTGCTCCCAACACAAGCTCTGCTGACTCAGGCAGGGCCATAGCTTCCATTCTTGCCATCCTGGCACATAACAGTTGCTTGGGGACTTTTCTTTTTCAGTGAAAGCAGGTATCTGAGGTGGGAAACAAAACAAAAACTCCAAAGCAGGATTGGAGAGGCAGGCAGGACTTGTGAGAAGATGTCCCCGCTGAGATAAATCTTAAAGGACAAACAAGCAGATTGGTATCGCACCCATGGGAGAGCCAAGCAGAAAAGCGTTTTCAATTATACACAGTTTGGGTTTCTCCATCGCATGGCTTGTTCTCCATTTGCGGGGATAATTGAGAAGCAGCCGCAGTTCAACTGTGCTAAGTGCCCGTAGTGAGCAGTGAATTAGGGGCAACAGAACACTCTTCACTTGCTCTGCTCAGTAAAGGGTGAGCTAGCGAAAACAAAAGTGAGGGCTGGTAATTTATTGGCCCTCGTTAACAAGGACTCTGTAGACATTCCGGGAGGATGTCTAATGGAGCCCAGTTATCAGGACCAAAGAAATTACGTTCTTTGTTGGATGCCTGTGAACTGGGGTTCAGGAAGGGCATCCTCCACCTGGCCATCCTCACTCATGGTTCTGTTTTCTGCAACGATGCGCACGGGCTTCTGGGAATGTAGAAGATGATGTTCTATAAAGAAATGCCTGAAGCAGCTGCCTGAACCATGTAACAATAAACAGCAAAAGGCCTGGGCTGCGGTGCCTGGCCACCCCACTCCCTGACTGCTGGATGCTCTCCGGGGCTCACCTCCCTCCTCTACATAACAGGGAGGGATGACCATAGTTCTGAAAGACTTACCCTAATTATTCTACCACTATTTATGGGAGGAATGTTTACAACCCTCCCAGCTAATGGGGCTAGACTAGTGCTATGTTAATATTAAGAATAAACAGCTTATTTTTTGGTACCCAGAAAGATCTGGGTTTGAACACCATCAGGTCTGAGGTTTGGGGTAAAGTCCATAGCATCTCCGAGCCTGCCTTTCTGTAGTTTGAAGGTCAGGTTGGCATCAGGAGTTTTAGTTAAGCGAGGGTGAAAATAAGAGAATTCAAAGAGTCAGTTCAGGTTCTTACTCTCATAGATGGGGTAGCTGGCTGATCCATGCTTGGCAAGCACTTCTCTCTTTTAAGGCTCCCCAACTCTGCTGTACTCACAGGGGGCCTTCTGGTTAGGACATACTCTATTTGCTCCCGAGGAGCATCCAGCCTTCCAGTAAGACGGTCTCACTGTGAAGACATCATAAATCTACTGCCGCTTGGTCTCTGCAGAGGAGAGCAAAGCCACGGCAGTGTGGGGGAGGAGTGCCTAATGAGTGCTTCCAGTGTGGAACGTTTCCGTGCACAGCCCTTGACCGACACATTCGAGACATAGTCAATACCACTGATATCACAAATTGTGCTCGTATGCATACATATGTGATCATGTGTGACAAAGGAACTCGCCCTAACATATTGCCTAGTTGTGGGGCTCTGCAGTTCTTGCTTATCAGCTTGGCTTTTGACCATAACCTGACCATAATCTGGCATTACTGATCAGGCCCACTGAGAGCAGCAAAAGGAGAGGGGCCTGGTGGTCTGCTCAGGGTGTTGCAGGTGGAAGGTAGGCCCAGGAGGCCAGACACATGAGCAGGGGAAGGAAGAGAGGGAGATTTGGAGGGATGTCAGATCACTCTGGAGCTTCTGGATCCTGGTGTTGTACTTCCCCTATCATGTGGGCCCTTTCAATGATTATCTGATTAGCCGGTGGCTTGTGTGGGACCCCAGTAGGAGGCTGACAAGTACTAGGGACTTAATTTTTGATAGCATGTTGATTTTAGCGCAGAGACATGTATGCTCAACCACAAACTGTTTCTAATCACTTGAAGGGCCTCCTTTACGATTAACTGAATGAAGTTGGATTTTTGTTGTTGTTGTTTTCTCTTTTTTTTCATTTCTGCCCCATGATGCTGAAGTCTCCACAGCTGCTCTTTGATTCTGGGAAAGGCTCAAGAGCAGAGGTTTGTTATAAGATGGCTACCTCTGTCCTAAAATGATTTTTCCAAAAGAAGGAGCCTGGCTTGCAGCCTTCCCAGCTAAAACCACCCCCTCAAGCAGAGTGTTGGACCTGCCCTAGGAGCCATCTCACAGACAGTCAAACTTGCAGGGATATGCTTTGTTCTTTGTAAGTGGAACAGCCAGCTAGATGGTGGTGGGATGCACCTTTAATCCCAGTACTCAGCAGGCAGAGGCAGGAGGATAGCTGTGAGTTCAAGGCCATCCCGATCTATGGAGTAAGTTCCAGGACATCCAGGGCTACAGAGGGAAAGAGAAAGAGAGTGAAATGGCCAGGTTTTGACTGTTGGATTTGATTTCTCTCTAGGTTCCCACCAGCCAAAAGAAGGAAGGTGTTTATGATGTGCCAAAAAGTCAACCTGTAAGTGTAAGTACATCTACCTCGGCAGCCAGATTCGTGCAGAGGCTGCAGCTGGCGGGAGGCTCTTCTTCTGGCCTTAGTGTTGCATGTGGCTTCTCACGGATACAGGGACAGAGACGTGAGCGAAGGATGGTGCAGATGAGCAAGGGGCCAGTCGAGAAAAGTGTGCTCTTGTGAGCGAAAAGGGGTGGGGTTGTACAATGCAAATAGCTCTGCCTGAGGGACTCAAGGCCCCAGGAGTTTCAGGATAAAGGGCTCCAACCAAAGCTTTATAGTACATGGTCACGTATAGGATACTGTCATCTTTTGCTACCTGTACCATCTGAATGTGGTGGAGAAGTTTCAAAGGAATAATGAAAGGGCTGGCCAGGCCCTTTGAGGTGTGTAAGGACTCATCCCATTAGCAGGCACTTATAGAAGAGGTGATGGAGAGCAGGTTTGCAGAGAACTAGCAAGTGGGCGGGTCACGGCGAGGACAATGCTCAGTGCATCGGGACTCCTAGGAATCTGAGCCAGAAAAATGGAGCTGCAACTTCCTATAACTAATTCCAGCAGCACTGAGGACTGGCCTGCTCTTTGGGTTTCGATTGGTCCATCCCTTATTACACAGTTTCCTTCAGTTTAGTTTTGTGCCTGGATTGACTCATTTGCCCCTGACAAGGAAACATGCTCTATTTGCTGCCCTGGTTTTTCTGATTTTATTAGCCATTCTGGTCACACCCTCTCCATGCTTAATAGCTCCAAGGGGGAAAAAAAAAACTAAGCCTCCTGGCCTGGCAGATGGGCTGTCCAAAGGGCTCCATTGGCTCACAAGTTTTTTGCCTCCCTTCTTGCCTTCAAACCCAGCCTTCCTTCTGCTCTGTCTGCTGCCTGATATCCCTTCATCAAATTATCAGAGAGACTTTTGGGGTTTCTGCTCTCATCACCCCTATCTTTGTGGCCCTGTAACACTTCCTCCCCTGTGAACAGCACATCTTTCCCTTCACCTCCACGAGTCTCCTGAGGGTCTTGTGTGAGGTCCAAAAGTGAGCCCTGGATGCCAGGGAAGTAGCTAGTCTAGAAATACTTAATGAAAGACCATTGACTTTACCCTGAAGAAGAAATCTAAGGGAATTCCTGGCTCTTCCACTTAAAGGGGATTCCCTGTTTATCGATCAGCACCCTAAAAGGTTGTTACCTAAAGATATTAGAAGGTTTGCTTGGGAGACACACGGCTGCGTGAATGGATTGTTTTGGCTGCCCACCTGCTATTTCCTAAGTCCTAGACTTACCCCATGTGGTAACAAATTTCCACATTTTCAAAGACCTGAGAGAAGCAGGAGGCTCAGGCGGTAGCTTCCAGATATGAACCCAGACATTCAGTTTCTGCTCTTGTGCACCACAAGCTTTGGCAGAGCTTCTGTATCTCTTGGTCCACAGTTTGTCAACTACCCAAAAGAGTTGCTGACTCGAAGAGAAAATAGTATGTGTCTTGGGAAGTTTGTCTTAGCTGCCTCAACCTTCTAGAGGTTCATGAACTCTCTGCATCCCTCTCTGCCCCGCTGTCTCACTGCCCTCCAAGCTTCAGCTTAAAGCCATGCCCTCTGACGATGCACTTTTTCCTCTTTGGGGAAGCCTTCTTTACCCCAAACAGGATACCCTGCCTTTCTGTGGCCTTTTTTGCTTCCTTTGCAATGATAACAGAGAATGCTGGTTTGTTTTTGTTTGTCTTTGTAATGTGTCTATGTGAGCCACTGGATTTATGTTCCCCTGACTATTCAGTGAAATCATAGTTTTTGTAGATCAGGAACCCCACACGGTGCCTAAAATTTAGCTGTCTCTGAGCACGGAGATAATGCCACATGTTATGACAGAGACCTGGGTTTGAGTTCTGGCTCATTACTGGTTTTGTGACATTAGGCAAGTGCTTTTCTCTGTTCAGTCTTGAGCCTTCCTCTGTTTGTAATGGTGGTAGAAAAGCGTGACCATTGAATCCTGAGTTTATATTAAACCGTATACAGTATCCATAGGTGGAACTGAATAGAGTTGCTTTAAATTATTTACCAAGAGCCATCGCCTTCCCACATGACCTCTCTCACTGTGTGTCTGCCAAGGACGGGAATCAGGCTTGTGACCCGATGACTAGGGAGCATCAGCACAGGAAAGCTGTGCAGCCAGTGCATCCTTGCTGGCGGGTGAGCGAGTGAGAGAGCGAAACTGAAAGTGAATGACTGTAAAGAATGAATGTCTCCAGACCCAAAGCGTATGTCTTGAGTTCTTCTCACCCCCCCCCAGCACTATGTCATGTGGAGACAGTGTTTGCTGTGGCAGCAGCCCCTTGCCCAGCCTCTCCCTGCACTATGCCTCCGACAGCCTGTGCCCTGTCCCACCTCCAACCTTCACAAATGTGTGTGTGGTTTTATTTCTTCGTAGTTTGGATCACCAAGCTGACAGATGGCCTCCTGTCAGCTTGCACATGGAAAAGCACACACACCTGCCTCGCTCTCCTCCCACATCAGCAGCTCCGCAGCAGTCAGAGCCGAAACATTTTGCTGACTTGGCAAAGTTATTTTTGGGGTTTTGTTTTGTGTTCCGCTGCCTACAGACGGGCCCAGAGCAGGAGCCCCATGGAAACTGTTGGGAGTCATCACAGCGCTTTCATGTTTTCTGAAGAGAGACTGGTACATAATGAAATGTCGAGGATGTGGTCTGACAGAGCTAAGAGTCTGAATAGGCTTTCTACCCAGAGCCCACTGGAGCCATTTACATGTCACAAAGAAGGCTAGAGGAGGAGAGGAATGAGGGTCCATCGATTTTACTACATCTGAAGACCACTATAATTCTTGCATTTTAAGGCTGTACCGATATATTTCTCACCTAGTTTTAGATCATCTTGAATTAAAGATGGCAATTACACAGATTAATTTTAAACCACATTTAGCTGCAGACATTCCTTCAAAAAGTTAGAAGTTTTTCTGGTAATGTAATATAAAATAAGCTATGAACAAGATAAAAGGAGACAACCAGATCTTGTGTTCCACCCAGTCATTTGCCTGTTCAGCCCACGGTGTCTCTTGAGATTTATCTTATCTTCTCAACAGAACAAAGAAAGTCAGCATACCTTTCCAAGCTGGTGTTTCAAGGAGCACTGCCCAATGAGATGTTCATCAGTGATTCCCAAAATTAAAGCATTAAATCTTTCAGGTGTTTAATACATTTAAAAATATACTATGAATGTTAATATGTAGCTAAACATGAATATGTAATAGGAATATATTTTGAGCTATGAATATATATTACATAAATTGAGAATTTCTCAATTTTCTTTGACCTGAATACTCTTTTTAATGAAACCTCAAATACATTTCAAGTAGAATCATTCTGTTAAAGACTTACTGGGACAAGAGGTATGGAAGATGACACATGTGGGCATCGTACTCACACGAAACCATCTACTCCCAAAACTCAGGTTTGAACAGCAGTGTTCTCTATCACTGTCTGTGAGCTGCTCTGTGATCTGGCCCTGTGGTTCTTCTTCTGTCTGCCTTTCCCAGGGTTCCATGACTTAGGTGTCTAAAGTTAGTTGTTGGTCAGGAGGCAGCTCTGCCCATCCGTGCTGAGCTGGCTCCCAGATTGCGAGTTTGGTTAGCTATGGTCTAGGACAGCCTCAGGAAAGGCAAAGGCATTCTCTTCCATGCAGTATCTCCTCCTCCAGCAGGTGTTATCTGATTGCAGGGACCTTATGGTGACAAGGGTTCCAGAGTAAGTAGAGACACCCAGGTCCCGTGAGGCTAAGGCATTCTTCAGCAAAAGTAATTCAAGTTTATCCTAGATTCAAGTTCAGAAAACAAACTGTATATTTTGGTGGAAACTGTAGGCTTAATGCCAAGGATCATGAATATATGGAGAATGCATATGAGGGTCTCTCGTGCAATCCATTTGTTGCAGTCAGCATATGAAATCACTACGAAGCATAATAACCAAGTTGAAATGCACTTGCTTCTTTGTTACTGCTTTCTTTTTATGTCCCATCGCCTGTCTTTCGTTTTTATCAGGGGTGATTCTGATTTGTTCCACACTGTAGGACAGCCCATTAGGTACCCTACCTTCCCAACCCCAGAGTCCTGAGTCGCTGACCCTCTGCTCCTGGAGACAGTCTAAGTGACCAGACTCTCAGGCACCCTCCTTTCTTTTACCACAAACCCCCATCCTACCCTCACACCTCACTATTCATGCTAAGGACACTCTTGGTTCAACATTCAAGATTCGGTTAAAATATATTTTTCCCTGCAACTGTCCTGGAATCCCTAAGGAACTTGCTGTTTTGAATTCACTTGTGAGGAAATTCTAATGATATTTTATCGTTGTCAGAGAGCATTATTCTCCAGTGACTGGAAGCATGACCTTTGTAATCAGAGGCGCTTGGATTTGAGTTCAGACTCGCCATTCATTCCCTAGCTTTGTGATGTTGGCTTCTGTATTAGCTTTTCTAAGTCTCAGTTTGTTCATCTGAAGATAGAGCTAATGCTGGTGCCTGTGTTAGAGGGTTCTGGGGGAGGATGGTGTGAGCTGGTCCCAGTCAGCACAGAGCCCAGTGAGGATTCAGAAGATGCAAGCTGTCATTTCATTTCTTTTACCTAATTATCTGTGAACTGCCAGGGGACAGGAATGGCATCCTGTCTCTGAAGGAACACATCCTGGAATTTTCGGTTTCCTTGAGATGTTGTTGATGGTAAATCCTTTTATTTTTTTTCCCATAAAAATACACATGCACACCAGTCAAGTTCTGTGAGTTTTGGGGGTGACACAAGCCATCCTCTGCTGTCCTAGAACCCCAGCAGCAGCTCAGCACCATCATATCTGTCAGTAGAAATGGCCTAAACGGCAGAACTGTCTGATGGACCAGGGATCCCAGAGTTTGAGGATTATTAGAATGGACTGTTCCTTAATGCTCACCCTCTGTCTCACTTTGCTTAAGACCCCGCTATGGACAGAAAGCTGGCTTCCTGCTTTGCTCTTCT